AGGGTCTCCAATCTTGGCGACTTTTAAGACTTGTGGAGGAACTCTGGGAGTTGAAGTCCATAGGACTTAAAGTTGCTAAGGTCGAGAAACACTGATCTAGAACAAGGGTCTCCAATCTTGGCGACTTTTAAGACTTGTGGAGGAACTCTGGGAGTTGAAGTCCACAAGTCTTAAAGTCGCCAAGGTTGGGGACCCGTGATCCAGAAGGATCAAGAGGGATGGAGGTTCAGCCTAAAGGCACGGTAAGACCCAGCCAAGGAGGCTGATAAGAAAACTACACAGCTCAGGGAGAAGCAGCCCCAAGTGAGGCTGAACGGAGAACCACACAGGTCTCCGTCGTCATCCACACCTTTTCTTTAGGCACGGAGTCTTTGGTTTCCTCCTCCTCCTCTTCCAACCGCTGCTAGAGGCTGAAGTTCACAAACGGGTGCCTCAAAAGGTCTTCCGCGGTGGGCCTCCGCTTTTCCTCCACAAAGATCAGCTTGAGAAAGTTGCGGCAGTACTCCGAAACGCCGTCGGGAAGCTGAGGCTTGGTGGGCTGGGTCGCAATCTTGAAGATGGCGGCCATGGCTTCGTATTCGGCCCAGGGTGGCTTCTCAGTCAGCATTTCTACCACGGTGCAACCCAAACTCCTGAGAAAGAAAATGGAGGGGGGAAAAAAGAAATCCCAAAAATGTTTATTTCTGCAACGCTTTTGGGAGGCGAAGGGGACTCTGATCTCCTCCTTGGTTTCCCATCACATCAAGCCTGTAAATCAGGGGTCACCATCGTTTCAGACCGCAATTCATAATTTAGTCCAATCGGACTAAATTCGTAATTTTAAATCCCGCGGACCACTAATAGGATCTGCCTAATGACTGGGTGGGTGGGCGTGGCTAGGTGGTCATGTGACTGGGTGGGCGTGGACAACTTAATGTCACTCACATCAAGGGGCGCCTCATCAGCCTCCACTCGCCCCTCCCTTCCCAGCCACTTTTCACCTGCCCGCCCGGGCTCCTTAGGGCCCCAACAGGAGGCCGAATCAGACCCCAAATCGGAATTTCTGAGCCCCCTCTGACCCACACAAAAAGCCCCCAAAGGGGGAGACTCTGTAGCAACACTAGCAATTCATTGCACGTATCTGGCCCAGGGGCCATAATTTGAGGAGCCCTGATTTATTGCAATATAAAACATGCTAATAATTTTTCTTTGGACCACCAAAATTTTCTCATGGACCACCAGTTGGTGACTGGTGCTGTAAACAAAGCTGGATTGGGAAAATGGTTCTTACCACACGTCGGCCTTCCTTCCGTAGCCTTCTCCGCTGATCACCTCTGGGCTCATCCAGTAGGGAGTTCCCGTGACAGATTTTATACCCGTCCCAGACATGCAGATCGTCTGAATGCGTTTGCTGGCCCCAAAGTCTCCTAGTTTAATGTTCCCGACAGAATCTCTCAAAATGTTGGCACCTAGATTGGAGGGGGGAAAAAAAAACAATGCAGAGAAGGGAAACAAAGAAGGAGAAGAAAGATGAAGAAGAAGATGAGGAGGAGGAGAATGAAACAGACAAAGAGGAGAAGGAGAAGACAGAAGAGGAAGAAAGGAGGAGAAGAGGTGGATAAGATAGACAAAGAGAAAAAGGAAAAGATAAATGAAGAGGAGGAGGAGGAGTTGATAGACAAAGAGGGAAAAAGAATAGATAGGTGGAGAAAGAAGATAGACAAAGAGGGAAAAGAAAAGATAGGAGGAAGAGGAGAAGGAGATGATAGACAAAGAGGAAAAGGAAAAGATAGGGAAGGAGGAGGTGGAGGAGAGGACAAATGAGAAGACAACATGACAGAAAGTCAGCAGTAAATTGGCAAGATATTGCTGTAAACCTTGAATTCCATCTCCCTTAGTCAAGTGCCTGGTGCTTAGCATTTGATTGCACACAATGAAGATTGAGATCATCACAAGACAACATATTTGCTGTATATTCAGGGCCATAATTTTACCTCTAGGGACTCACACGGACAAGCAGCCCTTGGAAACTAAACTCTTATCAGCCTCCAAAACAAATCTCATATATTTTTTCTAGCAGCTCCAATTCTGGGGTGGGGTTATTTTTTGGTCCCCGATGATGTGGATAACTCCTGATCCTCAACAATTGCAACCTTCCTCATATTGTAAGAAACTTTGCGTGCACCAATGTATTAAAAATCCCATATTATAATAAAATAGTATGTGTATATGTCCATATTTTAGAAATGCATGATGTGAAATAATGTAGTGTATATATGTGTGTCCCTATCTCTTCGCCTTTATATCAATATTGTAGCAGCCCCAATAGTGGCCCTGCTTTTATTGGAAAGTCATGTTTTAACTAGCATATCCTTTCTGGCATCAAATTCCTGTTTTTCTTTTTGGTTGCTAAAGTTCTTGCGTTAATCTGGGACGGCATTTCCCCCGTTTTGTTCTAATTCAATTTGATAAAAGAGGGAAGAGAGAATTTTATTTTAAATATGTCTTAAAGGAGATTCTGATAGATACAGGTAGTTCTTGACTTACAACAGTTTGCTTAGTGACCATTCAAAGTTACAATGACCACTTTTCACACTTACGACCGTCACAGCATCCTCATGGCCACATGGTTTGTATCTGACAACCGACTCACATTTATGACGGTTGCAGTGTGTGTCCCAGGGTCACATGATCACCTTTTTCGATCTTCTGACAAGCAAACTCAATAGGGAAGCCAGATTCACTTAACAACCGTGTGACTAATTTAACAACTGCATCGTTCACTTAACAAATGTGGCAAGAAACATTGTAAAATGAGACAAACCTCACTTAACTGGTTTCTCACTTAGCAACCTACCCTATTTTTTGGAGTATAAGACGCACCCTTTTCCCTCAAAAAAGAGGGTGAAAATCTGGGTGTGTCTTATACACTCAATACAGCATTTTTGGCCTCCCGAAACCCTGCCCCTTTTGCAAAAATGGCCATGCATAGCTTTTAGGCGGCTCCTGGGGGCTGGGGAGGGTAAAAATGAGTGAAAAACGGGCCATTTTTTTCCTCATTTTTGTGCCCCCTCCAGCAGCAAAAATCGGGCCATTTTTGGGGAGGGTGCAGAGCACAAAAATTTTGCCTCTTCAAGATCTTAGTGTGTTTTATACTCCAAAAAATACAATAAATCTTGGGCTCAATTGTGCTCATAAGTTGAGGACTACCTGTATTGGGATTGCCTTGCCCTAATTTAGTGATAAGGAAAGACGTATGGTATGTGGGAAGATTCTCTCAAATGCCTCTAATTCCCCCTAAATGCCAAAGAAAGATGTTAAAAGTGTTTTTTCAACCTCAGCAATTACAAAATCAGTGGACTTCAAACTCCCAGAATTCCCCAGCCAGCGTGGGGAAATCCACCATCTTGAACTTGCTGAGGTGGAGAAACGCTGCATTAAAATATATTTTCTGCCTGCTGTTTTTCTTGCTCGTTCCCTAGACTGGGAAACATAATGCAGAATCACCACCACGAATCCTTCCCACTTCCAGTAACACAATCAGCTCAGATGGTGAGCAAGAACCCATCTTAGAAAAATTCTAAACGTCCTACAAATAAAGTAAGGAGGGGGGGGGGAAGCCATTTTCACGGTGGGATGAAAATCTTTGAGAAATCGCACCGTAGATTTCATCACAACCTCAATTTTCATTCCAGGCTCCATCAAGTTGGAAAACTCCCCCCCCCCCCCAATTTGGTCCTTGAAGCCTCTTGGTGGACTTAAAATGTCCCCTGGCATTGGCATGTCGTGCTTACCTTTAATGTCCCTGTGTACAATCATGTTGCTGTGGAGGTAGGAGACGCCTTGTAGGATCTGCCTTGTATATTTACGAGTCACATTCTCTGTCAAAGCCCCGTAGGCTTTTAGCTGGTCTTTGATTGAACCCTAAAAAACACAAGAGATGAATAACTGATTAGTTTCTTGGCTTCCTGAAACTCTACGCCTTCCGAAAAGTTTCTCAGCTCCTGGGGGCGCCAGGTTCAAAGGGATAAACAATCATATTTGAGTCAGGCGCACCTCAGAGGTGGGTTCCTACCAGTTCGCACCAGTTCGGTAGAACCGGTTCGTCAAATCTACCGAACCAGTTAGAAGAGGTTCCACCAGAAAGCAGGCCACACCTACAAAAGAGGTTCCAAAATTTTTTGAAACCCACCACTCACACACACACACACACAGAGAGACAGACAGACAGACAGACAGACAGACAGACAGACTGACTGACTCACATAGAGAGAGAAAGAGA